GGGGGCGGTGGGGAGTGGAAGCAGCACTACTCATATATATAAAACTCCAGATGGTGACTGTATGTTTAAGCACTCTTCTGGAGCAGAGCACACCACTGAATTACTGTGGGTCTTTGGCAGCAGCCTTTGCTGCCACACTTCATGGAGCATATCTGGCTGGCACCATGGCAGCAAAGATTGGCAAAAAAAATGTTTGGTGTTGACAAAAAGTTGACACAAGAGCAAACTGGTATGAACAGACCATGACAAAATATAGGCTAGGAATGAGAAGCCAGTTTCTAGACAGCAGAGGAGTGATGTTCTGGAACAAGCTTTCAGTGATGATGTCTACATTAGCAAGGCAAACCAGGATCAGTGGGCTTAAGGATCAAAATGTTGGTGCTAAGGATGCAGTCTCCACACTATACATATTTCAGGTACTTTAATTCAGAGTCTGGTCTTGTGCTGAATGCCTATTACTGACCAGGAGACCACACAGTGACAAAGCATGGTAAATGGGGAAAATTGGGAGATTTACTTCAAAAGCACAGTCCTGATCTGAACAGTAGCAGGTACACACCCAGCAGGAGCAATGTGGCCAACCAAAAGACCTGCATAACACAGCTGACAGTCAGAGCAGACATGCCAGGGAGGGCAGGCAACAGCACACATTGCAGGGGACATGGCTACCAATTTGCCCAACCCCTCGTGCTCTCACATTTGAACAGACAGGACTACCATTCATGGTGCAGCTGATAAGAGACAGGTGGTCCTCAGTATGAATCCATTCTTCTGTATTAGCAGCAAAATTACTTAACTGTTCCTCACAACAGTTGCACCAAATGGCAATTGCATGTTTTTAGTCAGATGTTTTCGTGAACACTTACTAGCCTGGACTGTGATATTGGTGCCACTTGCCTGTGCCCCGTCCTCTTCCCTCCCCTTATTCCAGGATGTCTTAGCATATGGAGATTCTCCCTGCTTACCTCTCCTTCTATTCTTGAATTTGTCTGTGTGATGGAACACAAAGCATCAGTAACCAGCTTTGAACTACCACCTTCTCCTGCTGAGTCTGAACTGCTTTCCATTTCAGCAAATCGCAGTCCCTGACAAACACCTTCAGCATATCTGAATCATCTCAGCGGGGAAATGCCAATGAGGATGAAGCAAAAGCTGAGACCATCCGCAACCTGAGGAAATCATTTGCTAGCCTGTTTTCCGATTAACAGCCCTGCAGCTGGATCTGTGCTGTTCTCAGCGCTCACTCTTCATATCAGCACACCTGATGTCATCCTGGAATACACTCAATGGTGCCCAGTGATTTACAACCAACACCTGGGTAAAGGGAATTTAGAAAACTATAGTTGTTTTAATACAAAGAAAATATTATAATAAGGGTCTGAAAAGTGACTGTATAAAAGTGGCACTACTGCATTGGTTTTGTGCATAATCAGAATCACATCTGTTCAAATGACTGAGTTGTAAAGCAAATTTTACTCTTGCTAACCCCTGTGGAGTGAACACAGTTATGACAGTGCAAACTAGATTTTATTTTGATTTGTATATAGTCAATACAGTTGCTAACTTCCACTTACTGCATCCTTGTTGAGGTCAAGCTAAAAAAATATATAGGCTTATTTCAGAAACAGATGTGCAAAGACGGAGTCAAGAGTAAGTATTCATTGACTGACAAAGTGAGAGTGCTTGAGCATGGAAACACAGTGAACTGTGGAACTTCATGATACCAACTTTATAAAAAGTCACTTTTCAGAGCAAAACTACTTTAAAATTAAATATGGTACCAGACATCAGTAAGTGCCAAAGATCACATGAGCAGGTCATCCAGATGGACTGCTGGTTTGTTCCAGATCACTCTGCTCATAGCAGATAAAATGTCTGTTTCATGCCTTGCATTTATGTCCTATGCACGTGATTCCTGAGTTCTGAGAGAAAAATGTCATGTTCTAACCCTGTAGCCTTAGCTCAAAAATAACCTGAGAAATGGCCCTTCTATGGAAACACCAGAGTTCATGTTCACAGTTCACACAAATTCCAGACAAAACCCAGCTAAACTCCAAGCACTTTGGTGACTTGGTCACATCTGGCTAAGTCTGTCCCCCAGGAACATGTTTAATTAATAGCAGAGATGATGAAGTGCACATACTTGTGTGCTGAGTGTTCCATAATACCGAATGGACAGACAGATGGAGTGAAATCCTGTCTCCCGCCTTGAACTCCCACTGACTTCACTGGGGTGAGTCAAAATGAATGCAAGGTGACAAACCTGCAACAGAACAGGAAAATGATCCTTTACAAATAAGATGAGCTGGGATCCATCCAGAGACACCAAGCCATGGGAGGGCATGTACAGGATTGCCCCAAGCAGGTAATGATCAGTATTAGTCCTCCCCCAACCGCCCCCAAGAATTATTCTTCCAGAAGAGAGAGATGGATCTTTGCCAGGTATGCTTTTCCTCTAAGCCTGCAACACAGAATGAAGCTGTGTATGAGTACATACACTAGAACCGGGACATGGCAAAAACCAGGAATGACACAAGCTACATTCACAACTGAAAAAAAAAACAAAACAAAAACCCAATGTAAATCAATGTATCTATGGCTATTTTCACCATCTGCGGACCTACCCCTTGTACTGTGCTAGTTCTGTTTATAACACACCTAATGCAGGTGCCAGTCCCCATCCCACCTCCTCAACTTTTCTTCAAGTTTTGTCAAGCACCTTAGTCACAAACCATGCATACAGCTTCAAGGGTAGGCTTTCAGCTTTGTGCTTCCCTTAGCAACTTCACTTTGATGACACTTGGAAAAGCCCAGGGAGGCAGGGAAGTCAGCAAGTGAAAAACATTTGAGCCAATGGCATAGATCTTTGCTGTCACTTAAAGAGGGAGATCCCCAAAGCAGCAAAAGCAACAGCAGCATTTGCCATTTTGGATCTTATGATTCACTGGTGGGAATAAAGCTAAACAAGCAACTCCTCCCTGCATAGCACCTGTAATGAACATCTACACCCAGTGCAGTCATTTGGACCTTGTATGACCTACCCCTGAGCAGGCCTTTACACATACAATGGCTTTTGTGACCTGTGCACTTTTAGGCAAGTAACAGCATAGCTTTTTCATGTTGGAAGGCTCTCAAGAGACTCATCTGGATCAATGATTTATACCTCAAGTTCAGTATTATAGAACCACCCTATTCCCTGATGATTTATCTCCCCCCGCCCCCCCGCCAAGTTCTGTATTGTCCTTCCAGGTTTGCTAAGCAGTTTACAATGTAGCATCATAAATATATGTCATTATCTGAGAAAAAAAACAGACCCTGCTGTTTTGCAGTCTCCAGGAGCAATAAAAGAGTGACAAATGGCCTTGAGCAAGCACTGTCCCGCTGGTAAGAACAATAGCAGATTAACAGGCTCCACTATATGGAGAGGAGGTAATACAACCCTGGTGGGAGAGGATTTCCTTCTGTAACACTTCCCTCAGCATGGTTTATGCTTTTTCCCTACTAAATGGACACCAGAGATGCAAAGACAAAAATAGAAGTTTACTGCCAGAATCCTCAATTGCTCTATCCCCCGAATCTTTTTATGTCTCTCTTAGCAACACATCCTATACAAAAAATAAGTTAACTAGTGACTAGTATGGCATGGCCCCATAATCACTGAATCATTCATCACTGAAACCATGATTGGACCATTTTCTGATGCTGCATTTGAACACAGCAGGGCTGTCCTCCAACGGACCACAGTAACAGGAGAGCACTGCTGACTTGATATCCAGCAGCGCCTCAGATCTCTTCATTTGCCTGCAGCTCCCAGCTGTCATCTTTCAAAGGACAAGCAAACAGAATGGCATCTCCCCTCCTCCTAGCTCCAGCTTGCAAAACCAAGCAAAAGCAACAGGTACTCTCAGTTTAACTTGGTTAGTCCTAGAGTTCCTGAAAAGCATCTTCAGTTTTATCCACAGAGGTGCTTTAATGAAAACACTGATTTGATTTGCTAAGTTAAAATGATGAAACTCTATACTGTGTCCTATAAAAAGTTCCAACAATACACTTCAATCTCCAACTATGATGCTCACATACTAGATGTCGTGGCTAGCAGGAGATTCACAAATGCAACATCTTATATGCAGGTTATCCCCTTTGATGCAGGGCTTCTATTCCAAAATCCCTAGTCTAACAAAGCAAGAGAGAGGGGGAACACAAGAGGTATATTCTCCATTTTACAAATGGGGAACTAAGGTATAGCCAAGAGGTATTTAGGCACCTAAATATAACAGCTGGAGTTAGGGGCAGTAAGAAGGCAACAGAAAAGTTGGTGACTAGAAGTTACATTTAAATCACAGGGCAGACATGCCCCACAGCATGCCTTGGGATCTTTCTCACACAGTTATGAAAACTGAGCACCTGGTCAGAGCTTTCCTTTTGTCCTGCATGCTTTTATTTTCTTCATATGGAAGCCAGGAAACATGAATAGATTTGCCTGTTTGGATCCAGCCCAAGAAGGAGCTGGGACAAAGTTAAGACACCCACTCATATCCACCACCTGGAAAATTAATTTACATTTTGCTGTTTAGATACAGACTGAGAAACATCTTGACTTCCCTGTAATATCTAGGTGTGGTATTTCAAGAGGAATGTCACTTACATTCCCATGCAACTAAGAGTCTTGTATAAAGCTAAGGTTCAGAAGAACAGCAGTCCTGCTCCAGTAACTGCAGCGTTATTTTCTTTTTCACTAATCACAGGCAGGTACAGAAGACCTTACACCCTGCATATGACCCAGTTACTTCATCTGGTTGGCTTAAGTTTCATGAATAAGATAAAACAATAAATAGAAAAGTGAAGGGCAATAGTTCCTTATTTCCAAGTGACTGTTAGCAGCAACCCTAACAGTGCTGGATACAGATGAACAGTACAGGTAAGAAATGCCCATCTTCAGGCATCTTGTCTTTTGTGATTTCTCTTCTATAGAGTTTGCAAACTGCAAGGACACTCATACCTGGCTTAGGAGATGGCAAATAAACAAAATAAGCAGCTAGTTTTCAAATATTTCCTCTGTTGTCTTCTGATTTTATACTGTTGGTCCCAAGATAGTCGCTTTACATTTCCTATTCTGCTTTATGAATACGGGAAACTCCTCTTTAGGGAACTTGACAGTTCAGGAGAAGTCAGGTTCCTTTATCTTTGGTTCACAATACTTTCACTACAATGTGAAGGAACAATGAAGAAACTGAGGAGTATCTTCAGGTCACTTAGTGGTGTATCTGTAAAAAGGGTGCATTCATTTCTTCAAAAACAAACGTTCAAATGACAAAATCCAGGATAAACAGAACCTGTGGCATCAGCCTGGCAGAAGTATGACAAGGTTGTCTTCATTGCAGAGAGGGCCCAACTCCAGAGCAGCATGAGGCATGCCCGCAAACAATGTGATTGTCATCAAGGCACTGGTAATGTGAGCACCACCGGTGTCACAAAATTAACATATCTCACACACACAGAGATCACTGTTCCCAGAAATAGCTTGAAAAAAGCGAGAAGAGTAAGTTACAAATTATCATTTAAAGCTGTACAACCTTATCTGAATATTATGTATGCATTTTTGAAGCACTCATGACAAAGACAAAATGGTACAAGACCAACACAGCGTAGATCTCCCTTTTCCTTTTTATAGTCAGTGGAATATAAAGAATTACTGAGCTCTAAGAGGCCTGACTATATACTGAAGTGAAAACTCTGTTGGAACAAGGCAATTCAACCACTGCAGGCAAATGTTAAAAATTAAGGCTAATCTTGGTATTGAAGGGAAACCACTGTCCCCCAACTCTATAAATACATACTCTTAGATGTTTAAGCATGCCAGGATTTGCACTGGTATGCCGTTGCTGTGAAGCAGAAAAGGGAAGAAAGAAGAATACAACTTTTGACAGCAAAATAAAGTATTATATTTTACTTCCACCGGAGTTAATGGCAAAATTTCCTGACCCTACTGAAGTCAACTCATTTTATACAAAACAAGAAGATGAATCACTGAAATATCACCTGAAAAAGCACGTAAGTATTACTGATTAAATAGCCTGTATTTAATAGGAAATGTCATTCCATATCCACTGTTGGAATTTCAAAAAGATTTTAGAAAAATAGTATCAGCTGTCACAACAGTCATCAGTACCATTTACATTTACAGAAACACTGAGATCAATCCATCTTAAAAAAATATGTAAGAAATGAAAAGTTCTAGGAAAGTTTAGTCATTCCAGTCTTCCTTTAATTGAGCTCCAGCATCAGCCTGCAGATCTCATCAGGAGACTTTAACAGTGGTCTTGTTAGTTGCTCATTAGTTAATAAGACAACACTTGAAAGGTGCTCATAACATGCTACAACACATTTCCTCTTGGCAAGATGTATTTTGATACTAAAGTCATGGAATTAAATGAAATTTACTGCAGTAAAGTGAGAATTTGTTCTGCTTCTGCTGTGATCCCATTTCCACTGCAACCAGGTCAACCTATTTAAT